GACTCCAAAGAAAAAAAATTCAAGGTATCTGAGAAATTTATGAGCCCAGTCAAATGGCAAGGAAATTGAAGAGAATTCATTTATTATAATCTTATTTTTCTGTCAAGCTAACTATTGCAAAAGGCTGTTTATATTCTTAGTAACTATTTCTGCAAAAAAAAACCCAAACAAAATAATCTGTTGTGTTACATTTACATTGCAGATTATAACTGCAAGTTGAAAATGCATGTGTAGTGGTTTTATTTGTTGGGCGGTTTTCACATGATCCCTCTTGGTTTGATAAATGTGTTTCTCTAATCAAGGTAAATACAGAATCTCAACACAAACTTTAACCCCCTGTTTTGGTTCTAGTTGTATAGAATTCAAAACATACTAAGGATAAAGCAGATAAAATAGGTATAAAAATGTCACTTCATCTTAAGAATATTGCTATTTGCTTTCAATTTGTTGATATCTGAAAATAGCAAAGTCTTGAATAAATATGATGAATATATTTAAATTATTCAAAATAAAATAATTGAGTATTTGCTGTCAACTTCTAACTATTAGGCAAAATAATGTTTAACATCATTTTCTACACTGATCTGCCTACTGTTTTTTCTGTTTGATTTCCTTTTTTAGTGTTAATCAAGTACAGTGATTTTAAATATCTCAGTTAGTAGTGGAGTTTATGTGTCTTTGTCATGTAAAATATTGGAGACCTTCCATGTTTGGTTTACCTAATGTAAAAGAGAAACTACAGCTACTTCCTTTTTCTAAAAAGTGTACAACTTCAGAGAGACATGAGGGAAGGGGAGGGGAAGTTGTGCTTTATACAGGGGTGGGAAGAAGTTGGGAGATTTCATGTGAAGGACCGGTAGTAAGCCATGATGTTAAGAAACTGAAAAAATGTAAGCACACTTTTTTCTGCAGCATGCCAGACAATTTCCAGCGTACTCCATTTCCTCTGCTTAGCATTGTGCCTCATACGATATGGTCGATGAGGTTGTAGGTTATGATGGTGTGACTAACAGAAAACAACTAAGATGCGTTTTATGTTGCCAGCCAAAAGTTCTCCGTTCTAACACTGTGAACTTAACTGCAACATCTTTCTGTGGTGACTTTTTAGAGCCTAAAATACTTTGGAGGCTCATCTGTTTGGGGAAAGTAGCCCTTTAATCTGATGTACAGTGGTGAAGTTGGGATATAATGAGATCATCTCATCTTTATTGAATAAACAAAGTTGGTTTACTTTCTTAAACACTAGAAATTTACTACATGTCTGTAACAAAAATGGTGTAAAAAGTTACCTTATACTTTGTCAAGGCTTGGTTTCTTAAAAATGACGTATATCAAGTTCTGCATATGAACCAGCTAAAGAGGAAGTTCTTTGGAAATATTTGACATTAAGATGAGTGTATGACACTAAACCAGACTGAATCACGAGACCTATTTTAACTACAAATGTCTCCATGCTGGGTTTATTGGAAATATGCAAATAGGTATCTCTTCCTCACTAGATGAAACTTCTTGAAAATTTGTTAAAACTGAGCACAGCATTTAAAGTTTCTTACACTTCCATCTAATAGCATTATAGTTGGAGTAGTAAAGCAAGGAAGAGGAAGGGGAGTGGCACTGAAATCCTAACAGATGTGGAGCTAACAAGCTGGACTGCCAGTGTACACTTGGTGCTCTTCACCGCTGAGTCTGTCCTTCCATCTGTTTATACTTGTGAAGAATTGCAGTCTCACACGATTGCTCTGAACAATTACTGGTCCACAGTAAGTTTCTTGGCAACTATATGTAGAAGATATACTTCTCTTCTGCTAGTCCCACACAGTTTTTTCTTGTTCCTTCACCAAGTGGTTTTTATTTTAGATTTTACTGTGAACTTGTATTGTCAGACTTCGCGACTTCCTGCTCTGCGAGCACAGAAGTCCACACGTTTGGATTATACAATGAGTTTCTGTCTAAGGCAGGACAAGGAGGGGCCAAGACACTAGTCTGCTGTTGAGGAGCAGCAAGGAGAGAGAAGACAACCCACTGCAACTGGTGCATTCACTATAGACCAGGAATGCTACTCCAATGAGCTCAGTAAAGCTAGGAAGGCAGGTAGGAGTCATGTGTATGAGTCTCACGTGCCGTGCTAAGTGCCACTCTCCATTTTAGCAATGTCCATAAACTTTTAGCCTTATAAAGCCTTTTGTTCTGATTAAATGCCTTGGAATGACTTGCTTTCTACAACTACCTAAAAGGAGGTTGTAACGAGGTCGGTGTCGGTCTCTTTTCCCAAATAGGACAGGAGGAAACGGCCTCAAGTTGCGCCAGGGGGAGTTTAGATTGGATATTAGGAAAAACTTCTTCACCAAAAGGTTATCAAGCACTGGAACAGGCTGCCCAGGGAAGTGGTTGAGTCACGATCTCTGGAGATATTTAAAAGACGTGTAGATGAGGCGCTTAGGGACATAGTTTAGTGGTGGACTTGGCAGTGTTCAGTTAACAGTTGGACTTGATGATCTTAAGGGTCTTTTCCAACCTAAATGATTCTATGATTCTATGACTAGCCATCTCTACTTAGAAAAATATGAGAGTGCTTTTACTGAGGGAGCTACTAGTTGATGCTTGCAATACACTTTCCCTGCTGAGACAAACAAGTCCCAAAGTACTGACACTGAAGACATGCTGCTGCTATCTCTTTGCTGTATTTTCTATCTTGAGTTGATAAGAGAATGATTCTGTTTGTGGTTAATGTGTTCAGGCATGTGTCAAGATTTGTCATACATTCAGGGAGATGCAGATTTTCCTATCACCACTTGCTTTGTTTTGTTCTTGTGACTTTTTGAACCCGTTCAAGATTTAGGGTCCCCTGAAAACATTAGACCTTAACAAAGGACTGCAGGTGATAAGAGTGAGCAGAGATCAGTAGCTGGGAAGGATATTTGGAAGAAGTGAGAGAATGCTGGTGTGATGTTGGACAAAGTATTTTGAGCGGGAGCTCCTTTTCCCTGCCTGGTTACACGTGTGCAACCAGGAACGCAGAATCCCTGCGACCAAAGATGGGGCCTGGCTCCATAGCCTAAAGGTACAAGGTGGGAGGAAGGAAGATCATTTGTAGGTTCTGGTGCTGCTTGTGCATTTTGCATCTAAGAAATCATCAGATTAAATGTATACGTAATATTTGCAACCTGGTTCAGTAATTCTTGCTCCCCAAAAAGTGGCCTTCCTGGTAGCCCTACAATCTAGGTTTTCTTGAGCGAGGAGCCTATCTACATAACTCTCTTGGGACCAGGTGGTTAGCTTCTGAGGGACCTTCTTGCTAGATAGATACCTCAACTACTACATACCAGAAGTAGATGAATTGCAGAAGTGACACGAATTTTCCTCCACTTATTCTTTGGCGATTATAGTTCTCTCTTAGTTTCCAGTTGATGTGTGCAAGCTTTGGTCGTGGGCTTTCAGTCATCTGGAACAGTTTCACTAGAGCTGAGGAAGGAATTTCTGAGGTCATGAAGAAGCTTCTGTTTCAGCACCCTGTCATTCCTGGAGTCCAGTCAGGACCTTCCTTTGAATACAGAAAATTTTTGTGAAAGGCAACCTTCACTATGCCAGAGATTATAGCCTTCTCTTATCCCGTCCCATTTACCTCCTTCCTCATAGCACGAAAAGATTGAAGGGGTTAAGGGTAGCTTAAAACTGTTCTTTCTCATTTTAGAATGATAGCCTGTGTTTGGTGTTACATCCAACCCTGAGAGCAGTCATAAAATGAAAGTAGAATAAAAAGTGTTTCCTAAAGCAGAATGTATTTTTGCTACAAGTCTCATTGTCTCACTATAATTAACAACAACCTTGTAAATAATCTGAAAAATATCCCCCTCCCAAAGAAAGTTGCATTTTCCTATACTGTCTCCCTTTGTATATGCAGCAATGCATTTGGTATGTTTATACAAATGTCAGTGAGATAAAATAAATATTCCAGATGTGGAGTTTCTACATTGCTTCTGGCATAATTGCATTGTTTGGGTATGTTAACGGATTGTTTTGGGTTCATATCTCTTCCTGTTCATTTCGCTCTGTTGTCATAACATAATTCTTGTGGCATAGCAGACAATAAATAGTCACAAATACTGAAATGTGGCATAAAGCAGAATGCAGACTCAGAGTTTGTGCAAGAACTTCGGCCTTCCTGCTGGACCACTTGGGCTCAAGTGCTAGGGCTTCATAATGGGATTTAAAATGATGGCTGAGTGATGACTGTAGATCATTAATGGGGCACATGGATTTCTGTTGCTCCTCCTGAATCTGAAATGAAATCAAGCCCCAAGGCAAGCACGAGTGTGAACGCAGGGAATGGGTATTTTTCTTACAGGTGGGTGAGGGGCAGAACAAAAACTGACTTTTTCAATATCACAGTTTTTTGAGCTGGGTTTTGAACCTTTATTTTTTCTCCTAGAAGGTAGATGGGATCCTTTTGGAATAAGTCTGTGCGTGCTCTTAGATTTAACTTCAAATCAGCTGTTTTGCTTTTGTTTTGACTAGGAGGAGAGACTTGGGTGGTGGGGGCAGAAGCCTTAAGGGGGTTGGTTTTTTAAGGAGTGTTTACAATGCTTCAGCATCCTCAAGGGCAGCCTTAATCTTCTCAGGTCAGCATGCAATATACCCTGACCAGTTCCTTTACTGGAAAAATGAAAATTTTGTTTGAATTTTGACCTGTTTGAGAAAGGGTTCCTTGGTTTGGGCTCAAATTCTGAAACAAACAAACCCCAAGCAGCTTTCTGAGTCACAGGCAATGCAGTACACAGATTTAAACAAGTAATAGTCTGTAGTTGTGGGGAAGTTGGAGGTAAAGAAATCCCCTACTCTTTCTCTGATTCTTGACTGAGAACTCTGGGTAAATACAATAAAAAGTGCTTTAAAAAAACAGAAAGACCAACTGCTATCTGCAGCTAAATACGAAGTAAATTTGATGTATTTAAGTTTTTCGGTTTGGGGTTTTTTTTTTAACATTTCATTTTTGGTTTTAGGTTTCTGGGATTTGCTACAATAGCAGTATATTAAAAGTTCATCGAATTCTTTGTGTACCCAGCTGGGTAGCAAAGATATTTTCTTGGACTCTTGAACCAATCTTCTCATCTGCGGAACCAACGAATGAAGTTCGAGTGGGAATGGGAGCAACTGTTGACATCCAGAGGCAGCAGAGAATGGAGTTACTGGATCGTCAAATCATGATGTCTCAGGTTGCCCAAATGAGGCGGCAAAGGCAGCAGCAGGTATTGATATACGTTCTGTAAGGATTATATTAAGTTATGGGAAAAATACATTTTTGGTTCATGTATCTTTTGTGGTTCCTGTTTCTTAAAAATAATGTATTTATTTATTCTTCTCCATCAATCTTTCATATGCTGTTGTACTGCTAATAGCCACTTAGGTGTTTTATATAGCTTGATATGTTAAAACTGCTTCACAAGATATAAGCAGAATGTCAGACAATCCTGTAAGGATATCAGTACTTCTGGCATTCTTTCACCAAAAATGAGACTGAAAGGTAAAGTGATTGCCTCTCGGTGGTCTTCAGTAAGAGCCATTGTGGAAAGTTAGGAAGTCAAAATGCTCCTGACTCTTCTGAGTATTTGTATTGTTAGCATCCTTTTCAGAGAGGTTGAAAATTGTCTGCGTAACTCCTTTGTTTGCAGATGTACTTTGAATGAGGCTTGTTTCTTTTAAGAAAGTGCAGAAATTAAATTCTCTAACTTTCTTACAGAGGCCAACCACAGGGACTTTGTTTGCCGTGTTTAATGCTCGTGTTTTATTTCCTTGTTGAATAGAACAGCAGAGCCTTTTTATTTTCTCTGTTTTAGTCAAACCAGCAAATGCAGATATTCACATACTTTGCGTTGTAGGACAGTAAAACAAGGCAGATGGTGTCTCAATTCACTTTTTCTTGTATCTTAGATGTATGTGTTACTACTCTTATCAAACCTAGCAGACAACGTAGGCCTTGCATTGCTCTGTGTGAACATATATTGCTCATAATTTAATTACAGCCTAACAATTTGAGGTCTTCACTGAATTTCCTCTGTCTGAAACACAGCTCTGTACTGATACACAAGTTCTCGTTGCATTCAAGGTAGTGTCGTGCAAGTAGGTATAGCTATGTTACCATTAATATGTTGCCAGAATTAGAGGTGTGATGGCATAAAGCTTTGGCCAACAACTGGAGTATGAATCTTTGTTTCCAGTCCCTGATAACATAATTCTGTTTTCCTTGATTTCTTAACATTTCAATCTGATGAAATTGTTCCTCAGGTGGAAAGATCCTAATCTACTTTTCTCTATTCCTATTGGAACCTTAATCAGTTTTAACATAAGCACTGAACTAGAAATTACTCAATTCTTGAACGTTGCTGTTACAATAGAAAATGAATTGAAAGTGCCTGTTGGGCTACAAGCTGCTGGGAAGAGTGCAGCCGGTTTCTTCAGACAGCAGGAAGGAGCCATTTCCAGTTAGGAAGGACGATCTTTATAATAAATCTCTAATTGCAAAAAGTGGTAAATAAGTTCAGAACGGTAAATGATAAAAGAAGAGTTGATAACATTTTCTTCTCATCTTCTCCTTTCCTTAGGCTATGAACAGTGGAAAAATGTCTTTTCATGTTTGACTTCAAATAGAGTTCTTTAAAAGGTGGAGGGGTTTAAGTAAAATCAATGAACATTGTTTGAACATCAGCAAGATGCTTCCCCTTACAAGTTGCCAAAATACTTTCAAGTTACCTTCTCATGTTTGGCCTTTAACTTGAGCACAGCATTTAGTTAACTGATAGTGTTAATTTGTGAAACCAGTGATCGGAAGGCAGTGGGATCAATGTATGCATGTTTCAGAGAGGCTCTTCAGAAAAGATGTGTCATGAAAGCTTTTGACCAGCCTTTTTTTTAATGCCTCACTCACAGAATTTACTGGCCATCAACTAAATCACAGAAAACATCATTCACAAATGCTGAGAGGTAATGGTAAAAATGAAAAGCAGGCTAATTTCAAAATAATATTTAAAAAATCGAAAACCATTTTCTGGATTGCTGTATTTGGGCAATTCTTTTGCTTTTAGAGGCTTGGAAAGGTATAATTTGAAGACAGTGGAGTTGAACAGATCGCGTTACAGATGGAATTTAGATGATAATTTTACCTGTGGGGGTGAAGCTGATAAAGAATGCAGATCAGTTTCTTAGGGAGTGTTTTTTTGTTAAACTGAAAATAATAAAAGCTGTGAAGTGTCTGTCAGTCATCAAATATGGCTTTGAATTATATTCCAGGAGAATGTTGTGCAGATTGCTGGAGTCCCAATATGCTGTCTGTAGGTAATGTGCCATAGGTGAGATAAATTAACATTTTCTCTCCTGCTTTCTGTTTTGTTTGGCGAGGAAAGTGAACTTCAACTTTCCTCTGTATGCCGTAGGGCAACAATTTTATTTAGCTGCCCCTTGAGAAGGTGCTCTGCTCATTCCTCCTACTCCTTTACTCTTCAGTTCATCTGTTTGAGAAAAGAGACAATGCAGTTTCCCTGTATATTGGTAGCATTATGGAAGGAGAACACAAGAACATGATAGGTGGTTTTAATGTTGCTCCATTGTCCCCGCAATGTGGCAAACTCTGTTCTGGCCATAAGGAGGCCCCTTTCTTAAATAGATGCTTTTTGTAGTAAGCTTATTCTTCAGGTCTTTGCCAGAAATTCTGAAGAACGTGAGCCTGACAAGTTACGCCAGCCAACACAAAAAGAGTAAAAGTTTTAAAAAATTAAAAAAAAAAAACCAAACAGGGAAAGAAACTGGCGAAAAAACGTTTATCATAAGTTGTTTTTACTGTACCCCCAAGATACTGTGATGTAAATAATGATATCTTTTTTTTTCTGCTGTTCACTGAGCTCTTTTATCCAAAGCAGAATTCACTTTGGATGCTTTCTACAAAAAAAAAAAAAAAACAACCACAACAAGAAAAAACAAACCACCCCGGAATTTTTTTGCTGGCAACTCTTTGAGCTTTACCTTTCCTAGTCTTTCTCTAGCTGAAATGTTCTCGTTTGGAGGAGTCTGAAGCACGGAGCTGTGCGTGTAAGTGGTGGGTTGTCAGACGCCCATAACTTCGAGGAGTAGGTTAAGTATGCGGTAGAATTTGAACGTAAACCACCAACTTCATTACTTGATGTACCTTACTATAGCCCTTAAATGTTCAGTGGTACTGTGTCTGAGTATGTTGTTAGAAACTGAAAAAAAATATCTTACGTTGCTAGTTTCTCAGGGGATTGTGGTTACAGGGTGATTGATTTTTGTCTCGGTTTCTAGTTGCTGTGGATACAGCCCTTAAACAGATGGTAGTGTGCATATTGAAAACTTTCTGTTCTTTTTTTTCTTCCACGGATAATCCTGAGAAACGATGAACTTGTTACAAATGGAGAATCACTGAGCATCACCTCCATGCACCTTTTGAGGCAGTAGAATAAAATGTGTGCTATGTGTATTCATTCCCTCAAAAAATACCAGCTTGCTATTTCGTTACTGCTTTTAAAACTTTAGTTTCTCAGTTCTTTTCTTTCCCACTCTTTTGTCTATCCTTTTGTCTAATTTAATTTATCCTATTTTTCTTTTTTTCCCATTATCTGATCTCTTTTTCCCTTTCATATCACTTCCACATTTTCATTCCCCACTATGCCATTTTCCTCCCACATTTTCATCGTCTCTTCCCCTTCATCTCCATTGTTTCCCAAACTTCATGTTTGCTCCTGTACAAAATCCTTCTTCGCTTTGGGAGAAGTTCTCTCCCATCATGTCTCACCACCAGTAATCATTTGCTGATGCATCGTGAAGCTCATAGGATTTTAGGGATGGATGCCTCTTGCCTTTCTATTGTTCAGACAAAACATAGTTGAGGTCTTTGGACACTATTTTATCCTTTTGATACTGTAATATCAATGAACATTTTGGTCTTCCTCTTCTGACTCTTCTATTTCTTGTTCTCTTTTGTTTCCCAGCATTTTTCTAACGTTTATCTTTCTGTAACCCAAATGAAAGCCCTGGTGGGAAAACGGAAGCAACTGCTGCATCTGTGCACCAGTGTGGTAGCAGGGAGTCAACTTGACTTTCACTTCCTATTGAGAAACTTGGAGGGAGGCTGGCAGATAACCAAATTTCAAATAGATAAGGGAGGAGTCCATGCCTACATATTACTGACAACACTGTTGTCGCTAGAGACAGATATGTGGAAGGTGGTGGAAAGTTGCAGAAAAGGTGGTCAGTGCCTTCTGTTGGCAACTAAATACTACTACTCCTTCGAGCGCTCATGCCTGTGCCTGTTCGGGAGGGGCGGTGTATGAACCTCAGTCCCTTAATCTTGAAAAAATGCTTTTTGTATCCACAGAGCATTTATTCCTTCCTTCATGCTGAGCATGTTAAAGACACCATATTGCCTGCTTCTTGGTTTCTCTTAAGTTTCTTGGCTCAGAAAAGAGCTTCACCAGGTTACTCCAGACTGTGTGATAAGTAATAAGATATATGAAAATCTTCATTTCACTACCTCTTTTCTGCCCTATCTGCCACTTTAAGCTTATTTTGTCTTTTCCCTCCTGTCTTTTTGTTCTTCTGTTCCAGCTGCCATTACTTTTGAGTGAGGCCAGATTCTCCTTTGATTCATATCACACAGCATCTCTATACGCTGTGCAAAGACCAGACTTCTTCTATAACAATGTGACTTCCTCTAATTGTTCATTCGTTAGATGCCTTTCTCCTGGGACACTGGAGGGATGCTCTGTGGGTAGGCACACTGAGTGTCTTTATTGTTACGGGGAGTCTCGTATCTTGAGAAACGTGCAAGTTTCGCATTTTGTCAACTAAGGCCAGCTTGCTGATTTACCTTCTTGTTATATCTAAGCGGAAAAGTCCTCACATTGGGAAAAAATAGATTAATGGAGCAAAGACTTTCCTGGCACAAGAATTCCTCCTCAGGAATGTTATCCTCATTCATGATGGTAGAAGGAAATCCCTCAGTGAGTGTACTCTCAAACAGTTCATTTCTGCTTTCCCAAAGAAGTGTAAGAACCAGACCTGAGCATGTTCTTTAGTTCTCCCACTGGCACTGAGAGATACCACTTTGATAAAATCTTCTTGAATAACTTCACAAGTTTGAGTACCAACAAGAAGTCCTTCAAACAGACATTTTGAACTCTGCAGACCTTCTGCAACCTTTATACATTGCCGGGTCCATATAAATGCTTGCTCTCACAGC